CAGTGTGCATAATAATTGACGACAACTTTGGTTTTTGGCCCGTTTTTGTTTCCAATTTCTAATATGCCGAATAGATGACTGAATGACCCAATAGCACGTTTTACGTGAATTTAAAAATCTTCCCCGAAGTTAATGAGCTGCAAAACTGAGTAGTACTATTTCAGTGTTTAGAAGTAAATACATTAGCGATTCAATAACAATTCAATAGGTTTCATAAAACTAGATAGTTTTCTGGATTTTGCGTTTTGTCCACCCTCTCAATACAATCAAATGGCCAGTGTGTATTATAAGTATTGACCGACACCTTTATTTTTTGACCCTACTTTGTTCTCGCGTGAATTTAAAAAAGTTAATGAACTGCCAAACAGAGTAGTACAATAATTATTGAGTGTTTAGAAGTAAATGAATACATTCGAAATTCAATAATGACCCAATTCGTTCCATAAAACTGGTTGGTTTTTTCTTATTGTCCACCCTATTGTCCATCTGTGCACAACTGGCCAGGAGTTACGATGTCACTCACAAGAAATGACTAGATAGTACTGTCTCACCCGGTAGTGTTCGTAACTTGGTGTGGAAGATTCTTATAAAATGCTACATGATCTGGATGCTGTAATACTGGGGTTGGTCCTCTACACAATCTCACCAGGTCTTCAAACTTTCCCGAAGACAGTTTGGGGGGTCCACCTTCGTAAGCTTGTTTTGGCTGTCCATTCAATTCTTGTAATGAATGTCTGGAAATGTTTCTGAGATCAATGGTGCCCCACTTAGTATCCAGGTGAGACATTTTGACTTTGATTTTTCCCAGGAACTTCTTATCAACGTATATTTCCACAACCTTTGTCCAATCACAATTTCCACCCTCCACGGTAGATCTGGCTCGCAGGAGGTGCATCCGTTTTGACAATTCCTTCCAATCAAAAATATCGGACGTCTTCACCTCTACCACCCGGTAAGGCTCAGGGTGTCTACGTGCCAGACTCAGGACAGCTACAAGTTGGGACGGGAGAAAAATATCCCCTACCCCCTTCAAACACCTTTCTATGGCACTATGCATAGAGTCACCTTCATTCTGTCCGTGATTGGTAGCGAAAAAGTGAAGTGTAATTCTCTGGATGGATTTGGAGCTCGAAACAAAATAGTGCAGCATTGTAGGAATAATGGTGTTCTTATTTTGGCCGGGGCACCCATCACAGTAAAGAGCAATTTCTTGCTTTCCTTGATTGTCTAACTTTTTCAGGTGATTGAACAAATTGCTTGAAATTTCATTTGACCCCCTTCGGGCCTGGCCTTCATGATGCACATAACAAGTACCTGTTTTTGTTGCAAGTTCAAAAACCGTAAAGTTGTAACAAGAAAGTCGGCGTTTGTAAAATACCTCTCCACGCTCTGACTTTGGCAAGTAAATGACCTGTTGCAAATCAAATACCACGGCTTCGAACAGGTCAGGCTGGGCAAGTTCTCTGGTCTGGAACTGCGCCTTAATTTCCCGAACTCTTACCTTTTCCTCAGTGTGTTTTTCATAAATTGACCTTATTGTTTCCTTTTCTTCTGCAGAACCCTTATAAAAAGTCTCACAAATGCCACAAAGGTCCTTTTTTGGGGTATGGAACTTTAGTTTCATTTCTTTCAGTACTTTCCGAAACAAAGACTCGGAGGCCTTTGTAGAATCGGGATGATCACTGAGGTAGAGATCATACATCTTTTTCACATTGAGATCACGAGACAAATACTGATACTGTGTGCTGGCTCGACAGTAGTGAGATACCATTTTGGGGAATCTCTCTATGTGTCTTCGCATCTCATCTCGCAATTTCTGGTCATTTGCTTGTGTTTGCCTTCCTCCTCGTTTTTCTTCTTCCAGCATTCCACCTGTGGAGATTTTCTTGACAACTGTTCTGACTTGCCGCTCAGAAATTCCGACAGTGTTTAAGAACATTTTTTGGCACACTTGCTTTTTTTCATTATCTTTCCCGAAGGGGAGATAATATTCCACATGTTTTGTCTTTTGGGTGCTGTTATCGTCGNCGGTGGTGTAACTTAATAATAGTTGCTTATCCACCACTAGCGCCTAGCAGTGGCGGTGGTGTAACTTATTAATAGTTGCTTATCCACCACTAGCGCCTAGCAGTGGCGGTGGTGTAACTTAATAATAGTTGCTTATCCACCACTAGCGCCTAGCAGTGATGGTGGTGTAACTTAATAATAGTTGGAGGAATATGACTATTGGTCATTTACCCAAGAATGACGCAAGTGGTCGTTTCATATTATTGTCGAGCTTTCACACTAACTCTTTTGTACAATACAACATACATTTCGGCACAGCTTGTTGAATAGGCCTACACTGTATACAGTACTACCATTAAGGCCGGTTCATACTTCACCCGACAGCGAACACTAACAGGAATTTGCGACGTCAAATCATACGTTTACGTTGCGAATTCGTACAAGTTGAACACATTTCAACTCAGCGAAATTTCGCCGCAAAGTTATCGTGAAGTCAAGTCCGCGTCGATTTACATTCGCTTGAAGAATGAACCGGCCTTTACAAAACAGTTTGAACAAAGATATTTTCAAACTCGTATAATGATTCCTATGAGAGTTGCATTGCCAGTGGTGCACCCAAGGAGAAGGAGGGTGCTCGGAGCTTGTTCCCTAGAGGTTTATCTTTTTTGGGGGGAGTCTGCAAACCAAAGAAGATGTTAAATACATCAACATCTTCTTGCCGTACATCACAGTGGCAGTGGCTTGAGTATCCTGAGATATTTTCAGAGTAAATTCCTATCCGAGCCGCTCCCCCTGATAGAGGCTTGGGTGCTCTACTTGATATTTATTGTCGACGTAACATTTATTTCCGTTTTGCAATGTATATCAAGTTATACACAAATTCAATTAATGGAAGATTTATGACTACAAGATTGAAAGTTAAATGAGGCCATGGGACATCGAAATAAAGGGGGGGGCAGATCGGAGGCATAGGGCCTATTTCAAGTATGTTTGAGACTTCTGTTTTCGAGGATTGAATTTTAAACGGTTTCTACATCAAAATGCCTTTTTTATGATTCTTCAGCTACCGTAGTTCTTTTCAGAAATTGTGATCGTATCCTGCATTTCATGTGATATCTTTGTTTTACGTACTACTACTCTTCCTTCGTTGAGCTTTACTATTTACTTTTTTTACATTTTTTTTTGTTTCTGCCGTAAATCGGCTTGATTGTTTTGTTTACAATCACCGCAAGCAACTCAGTTTGAGTTTGTGTGAAATTGCTTCGGACTTTCAGTTTAACTTTTTCAAATGTTGTTTAACATCATGGTGATGTATATGATAGTGAGGATGTTATCTTACATCATTAGTATTTTATGTCAGTAAATTTGTGCCGAGAAGTTTTGTGAAGACAGTTGGAAGCGTTGAGTTACTGAGCTTTTGTTATCGAGTAAAAGTGTTATGGTACATTTAAAAGCTGAGCTCTGTGCGTAATTAAGGTTGTCAACAGAGCTTCTGAAACTCCGTGTGTATAGGTTATACCACACACTAAATTTCATGATCCGACTGTCTCTTGTTCTGATTGGCCAAGGTGTCATGTACGTGTCCATGCAGCGGTCTATCCATGGGGACGGTGGGGAGTTCCCTTGGTGACATGTTTTCTATTTCATTTTTTAAGGAATTAAAAACAACAAACAGTACCACCATACCTGATCGGGTGAGGATGGTTTTACGGGTAAAACATAATATAGTTGTTTGGGAGAGAGGAATTCCAGCCCCCCCCCAAAAAAAAACCCTTGATACCGGTATGCCACTGCTTTTATGCAAATTAAGTAGGAGTTGCAGGGGCAGTCTCTGACTTCCCCTAAAAGAGGCCGTTTTTATTTCAAACCTCCTCTTCGTCTCTGTATTTGGTTCACCACGATTAATCTGGAACGTTTGCTCTCTGACCCAAATGGAAGTTTTTACAGCTTGGCCTGGTGTTAGACAATTGGCCTTTTCTTTTTTTGAAATGAAGATTCGTTGAGTTAAAGGGTCTAGGTTTTTAAAGCATCTAAATTCATTTTACCCGATGATTGTGAAGCTGCATTGGTTTGTAAAAACTCGTGCTTTTTAAAATAGGCCAGAGCTTTTGTTTCGTGGTTTTTTTCAGGTCGGCATACGTTTATATTAAACGGAATTTTGCGATCATGGTTTAGAACCAAGTCCTTACAAAAATATAACTTTGTGGTCAGTATTTTAAATGAGATCTGTTGGAACACGATTGTGATTTTGTTTCCCGATTTTCCCCATGTATATAGGATACCTGGTACCATCAGGAAGTATATTGCACATTGTTATACGAGGTATGCAATTATGTTATACAATCCCATGAAATAGTATTGTACTTAATGTTAATTATTATATATGAGAAGCTATTATAGATTTGTAATCATCTTCTAGTTTTTGTGCAATTTTTCAAATCGCTTGCCACGGTGGCACGTATTGAAATATGAAATTCTATATAGTTGCAGATCTTACCGTAATAGTCCTGAGGAGTAAAGGCCGTAACATTTACCCAACATTTTCTTTTCGCTTTGTGATTGCCGTAGAACATTGCCACTACATGTAGCCGAATTGCATTCCACTGTTGTTTCGAGATTTCAGATCTTTTACACTTGTCTTTATTTATATAGTACTGTCGATAACTTTGCTCATGAATGCTGCACATAATTGGAAGGTGTGAATAAAATAAGCCAGAAGGGATATTGAATTCGTGAAACTGGTGTTTTACTATTGTCTGAAACTGCTTGTCCAGTGTTACTGCTGCAGGTATTGCAGTTTTCATAGTAAAATTAAGCATTATTTTCTCTACATTACTATACTTGTCAATATTGTGATGAATACATTGACTTAGGGGTGGGGGTATATTTTGTTCTCTTTCGTAATGTCATGAAAGTTCGGTTCAAAAAAGACGTGAAGTCGACTTGTCTACAAGTTGGTCATGTTAAGATGGTGTCACCCTGATACCGTGTGGGTATGAAAAGCTCACAGACGGTTGCTGTTTTGTACGATCTGGTTTCACATACACTGCCAAATCGTTTGGGATTTTTAGTTTTAAAATTAAAACGTTTGGGTACGACGTTGTCAGTGCTGTATCAAGGTGTTCATCTCGCTCTTTCACATGATAAATTATTTTTCTATAAACAACGAAAGGGCATTGGGTTGGTCCACTCTTACTTGTTGCCGTGTGGGATATCAAGAGAATCCCTTTTAAAAATCAAATTATAAAATCACTTTTATTTTTTGCTTTAGAAAGATTAACATGAATAATTGTAACACAAAACAGATTATTACAATTTGGTGTAGAAAGTTTAAAAATGGTTCCCCTGGAATAGTTTAGCTTTTTCCCTTGAAATTTGCACAGATTTTCAGTTTGCCCGTTGAAAAAAATTAGCGTGCTCGATGGTGTACAACATAGAACAGGATATAAGCAATTGCATAATTGTTTGCGGGAGTATACATGTAGTCAACTTATGTTGATCCAATCAGCATTATCGCTATTAACACCATCACGATCATTTTAAGGATATCCCCATTGTCAACACCATTAGCATTATCGATAGCATTACCATAAACCATCCTCACATGGCTACGCTTGCGAAGAGGAGAACATGGACTAGTAAAACCATGATAAATTGGCTCCTGTCTATACATTCCAAACCAGTAGAATCATAGAATGACCGTTGGGTGGCAAAAAGTGATAAGAAGCTAAGACAGCAGTGATTGCTATCACAAATACCTGAGGACCGAATCGTTTATTTGTGAAACTTACATGAATCAGAGATGATGACCAATAGTTGTCATATCACACCATATGAAGCTAGACTCTGTACAAGTCCTCCCAAATGTCACTTATGATTGACAATAAACACATCAAAAAATGAAATTTGAAGCCTGATTGTATTTCTCAAGTACAAATTGAGCAAGCATAGCAAACCATGGCCTTTGTGAGACTTCTGAACTTTGATTCATGATATTGCGATAAGAAAACCTGCTCTACAACGGGGGTGAAAACCTGCCCCTTAACCACTGTATGTGATTTTGCCGTTCCATGCAAAGCAGAGGTCTCCAGAGTTGGGGAGTGATACACTGTACTACTCACCACTGCCCTCACCAAGGCTATGCGAGTAATTGGATCTACCTCTTGTATACAAAAGAGACCCCAAAGAGGAGCCAGCAAAGTGGGAAAATGGGGAAAATGCCCCGATATCGGAATTATAATATTCTGATGAAAATATTTACATGCCTATGCATGATAATTCTTAGTAAACAACCGGGCCACCCTCTTACTTAAAGTTTTACCAACCTCGAAAGTATTGGCAAAGTGATTTCATCGCTAAGCATTATCACCATTACCCCCACCCATCCACACACGCGCATTATGGCCGCTTTAATCCTCCGGTCCAAACAAGGTCGACAAGGTTGGTACACAACATCATGCCTTAGATGTAAGCAAAACGACATAATTCATGCGAAATCAACCTCTTTAAAGCTTAACATGCGCTTACTCGAAAAAAATCGTTAGGACACGGAGGATATGGTGTGACCGTAACCACGCTATTGCCTTCTGCTATTACACACTTATTATTTGGCCTGGTTATTGTCCTTGGTTGGCAGGCAGTTTCTACTTCTTGTATCGATAGTTGTCGATATACCCCAAGTAAACCTTCAATGTAAACTCTACTGAGTAGTAAATCAATTTGGTTTGTAAACAGTGATAAAAACTTTCAGTTTGTATCATTCCCTGTGCTGTGTTCAAACTTTGTTGTTGATGTTTGAATGAAATAACTGAAATCGGATGAAATAACTGAAATCGTCCCCTGCAACAGCAAACAAGGCGGTATGCCTCGAGTTTCGCGTTTGCTTTCATTCGCTATGTAAGCACAACTACCGGTGTATGTGTTCCACAAAAGTTCATTAAAATAAAAAACTAATGGTTACCGTGTGTTGGAAAGCCTTCCCTTTAAAATTCTCATGGACTCATGATAGCTCGTCTACTCCCAACACACAGAGAGTAGGGTACCTGGGCGTGACCTCCGTGAAGTACCGTTACAACTGGAACTCAGATAAGACTTGTCAAAGTAAATGCTACTAGATAGCGACATGGCATGATCAAGCCAGTTAATCCATGCGTCATACTGAAAGAAATGGCAACATCAGTTGCTTCATGACGAAGATTTACGGACCAACACAGTTGCTAACTACGTTTTATGCCTGCGTTACCTTTCCCAAACGGAATTAGACGATTTCAGGCGGGAATCGACAATCTTGTTTTCAATCACATACAACAGTCGGGGGTAGATAGACAGTCGGTTCCCCTGTGGTCTAATAAGCCCTCAACGTTTGATAAAGTGACAAGAGGAAAAGAGCAAATACTATGTGCTGTTAGCTTAATGATTACACGGTAAGTTAAGTAAGTATAGATCTGCGAGCAGTATACGCCCCATGCAAAATCGGTTTGAGCTGGAGAATAAAGAAATCTTCAGCCTTGGTGGATAGGTGTTGTGGAGACAATCGAGTTCACCCATAGGTTTCTGCTTTGTTTGTAATTTGGCGTTTCATTTGAGCTGCTGATGGGCAGACCAATTGTTTAGGTTAGATGTTCTTTCCTGTACGAGAAACAAAGAAAACTTGAAGGGGAAACAGCAATACTGGCGGTGAGTGTTTGTTGTCAGTTCTTATGGACCAGTGAACAAAAATAGGTCCTGACAGTGCAAGTCATTGATTGAACGCGATTTCTTGGCGTTTCTTTCATTGTTGTAAACAGCACCTTATGAACTCTGGGAGACATCCAAAAGTTGAGGAGCTTCCTCCTAAATAAACTTATTTGAAATAGCTGAACAACTTTTTGGCAACTTGTAAAGAATGGCATGCGGGGTATGGTTTATTTAAAATAGTTTCAAACGAAAAGAATTCAACATAAGTGGTAATATGCAATCCTTATGTGTCGTCATTTCTGATGATAGTGGACAGTGGTTTTATTATTTTTTAACTTTAGTTAGAAAACCCCCTTTATGCTGGAGCTGTATATCGGGAAAAATAACATTAAGAAGGTTAATGGTGCTCCAGTGCAATATGACTCCCGATGATGATGGTCTGGTTACGGACAGCGATGGTGGCCACATCGAAAATGGCAACGGAAACATACAGACGGAACAGAACGCCAACAGGAAGGGGTGCGATATCACTGCGACGTCGGACCTCAACAAGGACGTGGAGGACCCCGCAAAGAGCCCATTTCGCTACGGTTGCTTCGGCTGGACTCCTCGGTGGATGCAGCGGTTCAACCGAGCCCCTTGGTTGTTAATCGTGCTCAGCGCATTTTGTACTGCTCAGGTAACGCTAACGACTGTGGACTGCAAATGCTGTCCCTGTCGCACACGCGAGGAGACCAATCAGACGCTATGGACTCCATGCACTTCATTTCACCCTCAACAAACCAATTATAATAATTATGAACGTATCAGGTTGGCAAATTATGTTCAGGTCGGGATTGCAAACCACGAAGGCATGCGGTTTTTACCTTTACAACAATTCCCCATTTATTTGTATCTTGCCTATATTAGTGGACACCAACTCAATCTGCATTTACAAAACCTCTTTTTTTCTGTGTAGTATAGAACGCATTACCAATACATGTATAAACAGATGGGCTTTACAAGCCTACATCTGACTTAACGCAGACATATAGGACCCGCCAGTCCTCGAGCATACGTGTGGAGCCAAAGGCAGATCCGCAGGGAAATGTGTTTGTTACTTGTTAAACGATTTGTTTCTGCTACCTGCCTCGTTCATGTTGTCCAAAAAATGAGGTTTCTTCTTGGCCTTCTGCAGGGTCTCGTTATCAACGGTTACATAAACACCGGTATAGGCACCATTGAACGCCGTTTCGAGCTGAGCAGCAGGGCATCGGGGCTTATCGTCAGCATGTACGATATCACGTGCGCAATCCTGGTCCTGTTCGTGACGTACGTTGGTGGGCGTGGCCACAAACCCAAATGGCTGACCTGGGGGTTAATTTTCATGGGCACTGGCTCCGCCATATTCGCCCTGCCCCATTTCACGACAGGTCTGTACCAGCCGGTGGTCGGCGCAGACTCCATCCTCTGCACGAATGACACTTCGGGAGAGCCACAGTGCCAAGACGGCACGGGTGGCGACTCCAGTCTGTCCAATTACTTCTACCTGTTCCTGGTGGCTCAGGTGTTTCACGGGATAGGGGCCCTCCCGCTCTACACCCTCGGGGTCACGCTGCTGGACGAAAGCGTGACGACAAAGCAGACTGGATTGTATCTGGGTAAAACAGTTGTCCTTTATGAACCTTGCAATTTAGACCTCCTTGGCATGCATAGCCTGAACAAAAAACACTAGAACAAAGCAATAGTGCCGTCAGATCATCCCGTTCGGAGAAATATTATTTAAACCCGAAGTATGCCAGGGCGAAACGTGTATTTCAAACAGGTGGGGGGACAGCTGGCATGATACAACCAGATAGGCAGGAAAAGCCATATTCAAAGTCTAGTGTTACAAAACTATGCAAAATATTTTCTTTCTTTTAATCACTGCTATGGTTTGCTGTTTTATAACAAACTCATTCTTGGAAATCATGTAAACATCGGTACAAATATTAATCTGTGCATAGTAATCGGGAACGTGAAAATCTCCTTTTGACAGCTTGGTTCTACGGTTTCTCTGCACTCGGTCCGGCACTTGGTCTCGTCTCAGGTGGTGTCTTCCTTGGTATCTACACTGATCTACGAGCTGACAGGTAAGTCATCAACCATTGTCCGTCTCATTTGTGTGTTTTACTTGCGAGTTGTGGTCACGGGACGGGCTTACCCAAGAGGCACAGTAGACACTGCGCCTATAGTGCCTTCAGACAATTCAAAGACCTACGAAACCTTTCAGGTCGTACTAAGAGGTGTATCACAAAACGGAAACTTGAGCATTCAAGAACGCATTAGAAAAGTTCACAGCTTACTCCGTCTTAACATCAACTCAAAGCACCAGGTCATCATGATAAGGGAGCATGTCAAGCTCAGAGACGGAGCAGGACATGCAGAACACTGGTGCCCATAGGGCCTAGAGTTGGTTCGCAGGACCTGTCAAGTTTTCTTACCTCCATGTGTCATTGTGTTGTCTGGAAAGCGGCTGCAAGGTTGGTGTGGAATGTGGTTGATGTAACTGGGTTTTAGTATTGGCTGTCATCATGGTTGTGCTCTGTACTTTTAGACGTGTTTTTGTGGTGTCAATAATTGTGTTAACGGCTTTATTGTTGTGGCTGTAGCTGTGGCTATGCTCAGGAACGCTTTCAGATATGGTTGTTTTCCGTTATGGTCGTGGTTTTAGTATGGATATGGTTTGGGCATTTGTTGGGCCGAGTTGGCAATGGTGAAAGTGTGGCGGATATTTTGTTTGTTCTTACAACGACGATTTGGCATTTTGCAACGCTCCTTTTATAATGAAGTTCCTAGCTAATTTGCAAGAGTGGTCTGGGTTTAACTCTTTCTCCCTAACAATTATGTGCTCTCCACATTTCCAGTTTTTGCTTAGTGAAAAATTGAATCCACGAACTAACCATTTGTGATCCGTGCTTCCTTCATCAGTGACACAATGCATGGCATAGCCGTTTGAGTTAAGTAGTTCCGGGTTTAATTCACCATACATTAGTATACTGTATTTTACACTTGTAGTGTCAATGTGACATCCTCGGACCCAGCCTGGGTAGGAGCATGGTGGATTGGTTTCGTCATAGGTGCCATTCTGTCCTACATCGTTGCAATTCCAATGAGTGGGTTCCCAACAGAGTTGCCCAGTAAGCATTTCTTATCAGAGTTTCAATTAGCCACGTGAAGAGAACAAGTACCTTATCGCTAATTTAGTAACAAAACTACCAAGAAATCGGATACCCATATGGACCTTGGTTCATGTATCCCCTGAAAGGTTCAAAATGAGATAACTGACCTTCAATCCAGCACCAGTGGTGCCGCCCGCCCACCGCTTGGCTTGATGTCAAAATAAGCACTGCGTGAGCGATACAGGTCCAATCCACTGTACATGCGGAGCACTTACTGTTAAGCTGCATAATTAGAGTAGCAGCGTATTATTCACATGACGGGCTTTTGCAGTTTGTCGTCCTAAACAGATTCGATACCCGGTCTACCTAAGTTGCCGTTCTAATAAGGTAGGATTGCCTGTTATATGAAAAATGACATTTTTAGTGAGTGAGGTTCGGTCATTGCCTGCTTTTCGTTCTTAGCTACCGCCAAGATCCGAGCCGAGAAAGAATCCCAGGCCCACATCGCTGGCCACGAGGAAGAGGTCACCCGGCCCAATTTTGGTACCAAACTATCCGACATCCCCAAGGCCGTCAAGTACCTTTTCATTAACCCAACCTTTGTGTGCGTCAGCCTGGCAGCCAGTGCTGAGAGCCTGGTCATCAGTGGGTTTGCGACTTTCTCGCCGAAGATACTTGGGATTCAGTACGGCCTTTCGCCCGGTGTATCCTCTGCTATTGTCGGTAAGACACAGAAAGAGAGATGAAAAGATTCTGGTATATTTTCGTTTAGTCTATTCGTAGTACAACGTAGAGAAGTTTAGATACTGTACTTTCAAGATGAATTCATAGTACGTCATGCGCAAGACTTAGTGTAGAAATAATGAAATTATTCCACGCATGTATTCTTCCTGTGATCGTGGTCGCATTTAGCATAACCGAGTTTGGTCATTCTTGGTTGTTATGGCCTCTGTGCGACGAAACTGTTTTCACCTAATGATGACTGTTTTCCAGGTATTTTTGCCGTACCGGCGGCTGTTGGATCTACATTTCTAGGCGGATGGTTGATCAAGCGATTCGACCTGAAAGTCCGTGGAATGTTGCGCCTGAGCATCGTCTGCGTGATTATCGTGATCGTGTTTTCATTCTGCTTGCTGTTGATCTGTCCTCAGGAAATAGTAGCCGGTATTAACTCCAATTACTATGCAAACGAGTAAGTTAAAGTTGACATAAGATATTCCTGTCGCTGACTCTTTGATTCTGTAAAGTATATTTCGCATGTTGTAACAATTTGTAGGAGTCTACTTTACCATTACGGTGAAGTGTTTATATTATTCACATAATTTTATGATTCTAACAGTGCATAAAGCAGCGTGTAGTTGCCGATGTGCTCAAATTGTAAAAAAAGACGACCCATTCCAATCCATAATAACTACAACAGTGAACTTTGCTAATAAAAGACTTTAAGCTTTTAAGAGGCTTTGCCTTGGCCGATTATATTGCTACTTTTTTCTCATTTCAACATTACTTGTGATACATCATCTTTGCTGTAATATGAAGCTTGGTGGTTCTGTTTCATGTTTTCTTGTTGGGTCTGTTAGTAGCAGTACATTCAAAACCCTTACAGCTTAATTTTTCAACACCTCTGACCATAGGTCCACGGAGTTTGGCCCCTTTTTATCCATGTCTGTTTACACATCACTTCTGTTTCAATCAAAACTATTGCGATCAAAACTGTTGGACGGCATGTGTTAATTGATCGTTAAGGCTAACTTTAACACCTCAGGACAGGAATCCAGGACACTTTGAAGGATCCTTGCAACGCGGACTGTGGGTGTGACAATTCGGCAGACTACAGCCCTGTCTGTGGCGACAACAACCTGCAATACTTCGATCCGTGTCATGCTGGATGCAAGTCAAACTCGGAAGATGGAGTAAGTGTCCCTTTTATGCCTAAGGTTGCTAAACGTTTAGTGCAGCTATGCTGAAGCTGAAAGCTTGCAGCTGATCACAGTGTTCTAGTAACGGTCCTCTCGTCGTTCGAAGTCGTTGGACAGTTGTTCTAATTAGGCCGTCCTCGAAACGGGCTTCCGGAGCAACGGCTACGTCTATTGTCAGAGTGCCCCACGTATTTGTCAGACGAAAACCTGTAGCTCTGTTCAGCGAAATCTTCACATTTGCGCAAATGTTTTATAAAATCCTCTGACAAGATAATCAACTCGAGAGGGAGTGTAATCATTTTGCGCAAGAGTCAAGATTGCGCTTAATAGCTCTGAACAACAGACCCCGATGCTGCCTGTTAGCTCCGCAACCTGTAGGCCTTTGAATACTTGCTTCAGTCGAAAGATTACTGGCTAACGAAGTGAAAGAGTTTTGACTAACTGTGACAAATGCTCTATTCTGCAGGTTTTCTCTGACTGCAGCTGTTTGGATATCGGTAACTGGACCGATTCGTCCCTGAAGGTCTCCCAGGGCCAATGCCCCGTTGACTGTGGCATCGTTCTGCCGCTCTTCCTAATCGGATATTTCATCTCCATGTTCTTCAACTTCATGCCGGGAATTCCTGCCACGAACACGTGTCTCAGGTAGGTTGCTGTCGGATTCCCTGTGTGGAAGAGTGTTCTTGCATTGGATGGTAAGAGCTCGGCCTCAAATCTGCGGTTGTCTTAGGTTTACTTGAAATTTCACCTAAAGTCTCGTGAATTCTCGTCCCACTCGTTAAAACCTCAGTTGTCGAACCAAGACGAAATCTAGGCTCAGATAAAACGCTGATGCCGAATTCAATTTTAAAATGTCGAGTATCGTTTAATTTTCATACTCTATTAAACTTCTCCGCATGCGCAGTCTGACAGGTCCAGTGGAAACAAAGCTATCATATCGACGTTTACAACCTGGAGAGTTCAACTCTCCAGTAACAGAGGCTTTCCCGCCAACAGGGTGTAACCAAAATGAAACTGAAGTGTGGAACTTTTTTTTTAAACACCCCTTAAAGCTCATACCTTAAAGTGTAGCGGAAATGAAAATCTCGGCTGAGCCTATGATCTCGCCACGAATTTCAGTCGTATTCGAAGAGGAGAACCACCACCACTTGTTCAAAATCTAAAATTCTCGTTCATAGTAATTCAAACTAACTCGAATTTTTTCTCCACAGATGTGTTCCTGACACGCAACGGTCGTTTGCTCTGGGTGTCCAGTGGCTGTTTGCTCGTTTGTTAGGTGAATATTTGTAATCAAGGTCACTGTGATAATTTTATGACGCATGCGTTAAACGCAGTGCGTTCATTAGTCCGATGAACTGTATGTTGTGGTCAGTATCTGAATTAGGGGCCCTCTGATGCACACTGTTGGCGGTTTGGTTTCAAAATGGCTCCACGATGTCCGTTTGGGCCACGAATTGTGACATTGATCCTGCTCCTAAAACCCGTTGTTTCTATTCCATTGTCTGATCTGCCATAGAATGATGGGCGCATTTACAGTGTATCACATAACCAAACCGCCTCATCTTCAGTGCCGATCAGTGATCAGTGGAAATGTCCTGCCGTCAGGGGTTGTTGGCACGATCTCCAGATCCAAATGTTTCAACATGAATTATGTGTTTTTTTCGCATAATGAAACACTCATCTCTGTCATTGTACTCAATAAGGCTCCAGGCAGTTTTTGTAAGTGGAATAAATAACGAGGGACGCAATTATGCCCTTGATGTCATAATGCGTCTTTGATCATGTTTGGAAGGAACTGTGATAAGAAAAAATTATATTTTTGCTTTTATGTGTTGTTCCTAGGCTCTGTTCCAGGCCCTATTCTCTTTGGTAACGTCTTAGACACCAGCTGTCTCCTGTGGCAAGACGACTGTGGTAGCCGGGGTGCCTGCTGGTTATACGACCGGCAGATGCTGGCCTGGAAACTGCTGCTGATCGGGGCGGGCTTTAAGGGAGTTAGCTTCCTCTTCTTCGCCCTGTCTCTCATCTTTTACAGGTCCGCCCACGACAACGACGGAGACGAAAAGAAGGCGACAGATCCCGGGGAGGTCGAGGTGGACATGGAGGGGAAAAGGGAATCGTATAAGCGGATGGAGTCGTCCAGCAGCACGGCAGAGATCGTCGCAAATGCCGTGTATGGAGAGACTGCCGAAGAGGGAGAAGTGGAATAACCGCTATCGGATAATCAAGGGATGTTCCTCCCGTGATAGTACAACGTGATCCTTGGAAGCCCTGTTGTTGGACATAATCTCGTATGACGAGTCTGACGAGCTATATAATATATAGCTCGTCAGACTTATCAGAGTAGCCAGTGAAATTTGTTACCATGCCAAGGTTTTTCATATGTATTGACCATGTACCACAACATGGCCCATGGGAAGCGTTTCATCATTACTGTAAAAAGCAATTAGGCCTTCATGCAGACAAATTAAAGTTGCCCGGAATTCAAAAGAAAGGAAAAAAATACGATGAGAACAAGGATGGGGACGTAAGAAGATTTCATCTGAAGACATCAAAGAACCGAAAGAAATACGTTTGTTACGAGCCAAAACTCTCGCTGAAGACAAGGGTAAATTCCAGCAATAGACAATGATAGACATCCAATTCTTGTACATATAAGAGGGAACATAAAAAGTGTTTAATAGATTCGTTTGTATCAGGATGTTGCCAACAAAATCTTTGAAACCAAAATTATTTTCCAAAGGTTCATAAATAACAATGCTTATCGACTTGTCGAAGTTGCTGTAAAAATATGAAAATATTTGGGAAAATAAATTTAGTTTGTACTACATTCGCAGCAAATCAGCTTTAATCATAAATAAGGTACACATTTTTATTAAATTATACATAAAAGTTGACATTATTATCACATGTAAAAGTATGTGTTTTTACAAATTCAAACTTGTTTTTTAATGCTTCTCATAAATTTCATTTCACTGTTCCTACATTGTTGAGTGTACAACTGCTTTTTCTAATGTATACAAAAGGCAAATGAAAGTATAAATGGTTGGCTATATTTCCCTGACGAAGACGGCACACTCACGAAGGCACAAAGGGCTACTAGTCCTTTACAGCGTAGTTTTACTTTCAACTTTATAGTGTTCCTAATATAAATGGGTTTGGCAGTAGCCTGTGTGGCCGATGCTGTTGAGAATTTCTTTGGTTTAGAAAAGGTTTTGCGAGACAGATTTGCATAAGAGGAATGGCTTTGCTCATAATACAAGAAATATGTCCATCCTTGAGATTTTAAACACGTTCTTACTTGATGTAGTGCGTACTAGGGATGTATGCAAAAATTTATAAAAGCGCCTGTAGCCCCAGCCTTTGATGACCAGTCTTGACTCCTGAGGTTGGTTCGTCTGTTGATCTCAAGAGCCACTGCAAGAGAGCGCTATTGCCCTTCTGTGGATGGTTGCACCGCGGACGTATATAAAAAAAAAACCTGGACTTGCAACGCCTTTGTATGAAAAAGAAGCAAACCAGCGGCCATTTTACCGAGCCGAATACAAAAGCGTGGGTTGGCTCCTACCATTGACGTCTGGAAGAACAAAGGCGGCGTTGTCAGGAAAGCTTTGTATTCGGCTCGGTAAAATGGCCCCGAGTGGATTCAATGACTCGATAAGCTGATTAAGGGCATTGTGAGTCCAGATTTTATTATACACGTCCGTGGGTTGCACACCCGAGTACCACAAGGGACAGAAACAATTATGTGCTTACTGAGTGCCTGAGGGTGCACCACTAAAAATAAATTCCTATAGACAGCAGTGATAAATCCCCATACTTCACAAATATTTTCAAAATACTCACAACTCTCACAGGGGTTCAGGCTGCACAGAAAAATGATGTTCAACGTGTCCTCTTTCACTTTCCTTTCAATTTTCGGGGGGTTGACCAACGAATTTTTGAGAAATTTTCACCAGAAGCAAACCACCCCTAAAATGCAGAAAATGTCCCTGTCCAGAAAGGAGCCATTTTGAAAAACCCTCCCTCGGCAAAATGACTCGAATAGTGCCACTTTCAAACCCGATTGCATCCAAATTGCTCAGAATTGGAAGCCCTGAGTCCGGCCCAGAGGTCCAGTCTCGTATTTCTTCAATTCTTCTGTTGGCTCTCAGGACCCTCTAATATAGAATATTTTGATTGTATAACTTTTATTAATGAGCTCGGTGGACATATTTCTGGCCTAATTACGAGGGTGCACCCCTGAGGTCCAACATTTATTGGTCATTAAGGTTTATTATAGGTTTTCCTGGACAGTTTCGACATTGATATAAATTTACATATATATGTATATATACAAAGCATTGGCCCTGAATCTAATTAACAAGAGAACGTGAAAACAACAGAACAGTGAATTATGTATTTGTGTAAGCTTGATTTCTTTGGCCTATTCTGTTTAAGTATTTTGAATCACAACAAAAATGACGTCCGAAATAACCGCTAATTCAAACCATCTTGACGATAAATTCAATAAGAAAACTAAATCGGTAAAATGAATGACAAAAATCGAATTGCTTTTCCGATTTAACTACTTTCCGGGAGTTAGACGAAAATGACAATAAATGAGACGAATCGTGTTAATTTTATTATAAATTTATAATGCTATGAAAGTGAAATCTGCTGGTGTTATTTCGAAATTGGAATCAACATTAGGGCGAGTGACCCCTCTTTGACGAAATTAAACTTTCTGCAATTTAAATAAAAGAAGTGCGATATTAACCGGGAAAACCTATAATCACAGCGTGGGTGTTTTCAATGTACACCTTCAGTATCGTATTACGCAATTCTTGACAGTTTATTCTGGTTTTTGCTCTGAAACTCGACGGATAGACAGGGGCCTCACAGCACACCATTAGTGCAACAAATGAATGGGGTACACAATGTTTTTCCTCCCACGCTGGGTGGCGCTATACATGGCTTTTTGGTTTTGGTTAATATACGTTCATGTAGGCCTCGTCTTCGTTTATACTCGTAATGTTCGCTTTTTTAGCAGACCCTACTAAAAGTATTATTCTTTGTTTCGGCTACAGCTGATACAGGCAATTTTATTGGCCCGAGAGTTTCCTTAGTTGATGTGTCTCCACTATTATGGCTGCCCCAAAGGTAGTAGGCTTGCTTTGCTTTGCTTGGGACTGGGAGGTTAATAAATTTTTAATGTTATTTTTTCTGTTTTATCTTGACAATTTGAAGTAGGCCTATGTAGGCTACATGTATGTCACCAGGTCACTTATCGGGAACATTTTACATTGTGATACAGGCTAACTTTAGGTGTACACATTGTGCTTTGGTTTCCATCAGACTCTGCAAAGCAAAGAAAAATTTTCAAGCAGGAATCTTTGAGATTTTTTTGATATCTGCATAACACAAAGCAAACTTTTTAGGCCTACACAGAATGATAGGCCTACTAGTAAGCCCACTGCTTCAGGGATGGATCTACCGGTGGTAGCTTTCTTGAAACAGGGGCTGATGGGCGTACTGAAGGGATGCCCTGCTAAGGAGATCCACCAGAAATTGATGTGTGTATCTATAGATGGACGACGCAATCCTCTTCCAGGATTTTTTTTTAACTCATTTTCTTCATTTCACTGGTTAGTCCGGGGCTGAATAAAGGGGTTGCAACCCCCCCCCTAGAGCCACTCCTGTACTTCAACTTTTGTTCAAGAACTCTGTGTGACTTTCATGACTAGGTTGTAATATACAGTGTAAATTGGGTTGTAACGCTTTGAGTTAATCAAATTTTTAAGGTGAATGATTGAGCAGCTTGAACTCTGGTTTTCAATCAGATTTTTCATGAGAGCAAACTTAAGGTACCTGTAGCTCTTAAAATGATAAAACAAGGGTTTCAGAGCATGAGACCAAGGCTTTACTAACCAGTCTCTCGCTTCTACCCAATGATGATCGCTCCATTCATGCCATTTGTGTTTATCACATTGCGCTTGTGTTGGGCCAGCATGTGTTCCTTCCTCCATGGGCCAGCCATTGGCCTAGCTTGCTCCATATCTCAGTTCAACCATTTTCGGAAGCAGGGGGATTTCCAAGATGTTGCAATCTATCACAGCCACATAGCACGGCACATACAGCAGTCACACAATAAAGATGGTTGCCCAATCTAAACAAGATGCCCCTCCCCGCCTCCGAAAATGGTCGAACCATTTGAATTCCAAAGTGAGGCTCATGAGACTTGTAAGCAACTGATCTGGTGTCAGCAGCACATTTGAATATAGACAGGTAAATTTCCTCTCAGCAAACCTGCATGTAGCATTCTACATTTGCTTTGTTTCTGAGTGTGTGTGTAATATTAGTGCCCATTTCAGATCCTTTGAAATTTCTACACAAAGGTACTAGTACACGTATGGGCAGATTATACCCCAGATTTTCTCTGCCTTCTTTTTTGTGAGTGATTGTCATTAATTAACACCTTGACATGTATTCAAGCTCATCTGCCAACTTTTTTCTCCCAGAAGGGGATATGATTTACATCCGTTCGGAGGTGGAGTTGATCAGTAGATGACTTGCTGAACCAGTTGATTGGATCAAGGCGTATTCGACATCGCTAGTGGATTCTAGCTATTTCTACCATGAAGAAGACAAAAGAAGGATCGGGGAAACACTGTGTGGTGACTGGCTGCACCAATAACAGCAGAAAGCTTCGAAAGTGGAGGCTTTCGGCGTGTGAAATACACCCACCTTTTATTCACGACGAGTGTCCGTGTCTGCTGCCCTACCAGATGCACCGATTTCCATTCGGGGCTTCCAGCCTTTCTGCCGTTAAACTGGAGCAATGGTTGAAAAATATCAACCGGAAAGACTTCAAACCAACCCTCCACAGCCGAGTGAGTGTTTTGGATTTGTGGAGTGCTCTTTTTTTTTTACATTAAAAAACATTAAAAATTGAAATGTTGGGTGGAGTCAGCCAATTCGCATGATGGCTCAAACACTGTGTGCAGTTGGTCGATTCTGCATGAAATGTCCTCCAGAAACAGCCAAACTGACACGGGGAACCAGCTGGACCATTGGCCTGCAGCGGCTGCCGCATGTGCATCGTGTGATACACACAAAGTGTATGGTACTGTGTGGTTGTTTGGTAAGAAAACGGGACATTGGTGTGTAAAACTTCTGATTTTTCAAAATATGGTCAGTCCTATGGTTTAAAAACCACTGTTACTTGGTTTTCATAATTCAAGAGCTATGGGTCCACGTACAGTTCTCACGGTTTCTCTGATGGGGAAATTCGATTGAAAAAACAGAATTTGCATCCTGTGATCAGTTATATGTACCTCAAAGGATTGATTAAAAACAGTGTTATGACCCCATGTTAACAAAACTGGCTGTAAGTCACAGGGAGTAGTGATTTGCAGTTCTGTAAGTAGTGTGGTTCCTTTGTATACGTCTTCAAGGTGAAGATGCTGGTGGGCAGTCGTGGTATTTTGCAACAATTATGGATGCCCTCATCCTGATGAACTGTGCATCATCCAGAATACATGTCAAATGGTCGTAGTTACCATTAATCCAAATGAAAGAAAATAAATGTTAGGCTGATCTTTTATGAAGAGGCAAGTTGTTTCTTAATTTGCTAAGGTATTCCTGGCTTGGAATTCCCCAGTAAATTGTACACAAAGGAGCGCTGACAAAAATGGTATTTAAAAGTTATGTTGCGTGGGCCCTTAAAAACTCCAAAGCCTAAGGGTGGACTTTGAAGGATTTGAAAGGGCAAGCTGTGTTTACTTGAGGAAAATATCAGAAACTAAAAACTCGTTTTTTGACCTGTGGTTTTTCAAAAGTTTTTGTTTGTTTGCAGGTATGTTCTATGCACTTCCCTGATGGAAGACCAACAGCCCAAAACCCGTATCCAGTATTGCACATGAAGCATGATGTACATGTAAGTAGGAACCTTTGCAAAAATCTGCTCCATGCAGGAACCATAGATGGCGTGCTTTTCATATACCTGTAGCAACAGTGGCCCTTTGGTAGGATCTCACTGCATGTGCCCATAGGTTCAGGCACGTTTGACGTGGGATAGGCTGAGTAAAAGCAAGCAATTGCACATGCCCAGATGAGACAATTCCCACCAACTTGCCTCTTCTTTGTTGGTGGGGGGTGCGTCAAGTCAGGATGGATACAGACTTCTCTTCCGAGTTCCGACAATAGCCCCTAAAATCTCTGAGTGATTTACCCCATGGGAAACATTACCTTAATTATTCCTGCTGTTGAAAGTGCCATTTCCACTCTGTTCTATTATATTAGTTTGACTTTGGGTATTGTACATGGTTTTTAGAAATGATGGGACTATGTAAATTTATGTATGTATCGTACACACATCCTGTGAGATGTGCTTCTTGTAAAACAGGAGAGTGAGCGTTACTTCTTCTATGACAGTCATTTTTTGCATTGTTTGTCGCTGTTCATCTGCTTTCTCAGAAAATGTGCCAATATTTCTGTAATTCCACGAAATAATGTCTGCAAGTAAGAGGTGGCAAGGATGGATCCAGGGGAGGTTGAAGGGGCCATGCCCCCCATCCCCCCGTGTTTTTTGGTAAAAAAAAAAGAATGAAAGACAGTTTTCTAGTATGTTAATTTTACATCATTCTAAACCATGAAAGAAACTCCTCAAAACCTCACCCCCAGAAAGGCCATAACAGCTACTTGAAAAATTTCGAATTTGCTGGCACCCCTCCAACAATTTTGCAACTCCTGCCCCCCCCCCGGAAATTTGATAGCAGGACACCTGCAAAGAAGGGGTTTCTCTTTCTCTTCAAAGATCAGGTCAAAAATTTGGTTTTTGAACAGGATAGCGTTAGCACAAAGAAAAACACAGAACAATCCGTGGGAATGGTTCAGGAATTCTGCACCGCAATGGGACGAGACCCACAGTTTCAGACGTTACCAGTGACAGAACTGGACAACTTGCTGGAAGAATTCTTTGGCAGTGTCAACAAAAAAGATGACACTTCCTATCACCGGAATGGCCTGTTGAGTATTCACTTTGGCATTGCCAGATATCTGAGGAAACACAGAGACATTGACGTCACATCAGATCTGAACTTTATGAAATCGGACACCGCATATAAAGCCAGGCAAGCGGAGATGAGGAAATCTGGGTGTTGTGTGACAAGGTTAATCATTACCCTCCCCTGGAAAAGGATGACATCCGCAAGATTTACTGCAACTTTGATCTGACACATCCAGTGAACCTTTGCCAAAAGGTGCTGTTTGATGTCATGTTTTTCTTGTGCCGACACGGAAGAGAAAATCTTCGGGACATGACCAAAGATCACTTCATTGTGGACGGAATATCTTTAGGGCAATGATGCGTGCGTCAAGTTGTTGACAAATGTGACAAAAACAACTCCTGCCTAAATAACCCAGAGCCCAACTCTACTGATGCAATCATGCTTGAGAGACCAGGTGAGACTTGAAATGTTTGAATTTCCATTCCTTTTTTAATTCCTAAAGCTTGTAAACTATTAAAAAACACATTGCATTCACTGGTGCTCACCAATGCACACCTATCAAGGAAAGGAAAGGGTAGATCTTTGAACCTTTCCTATTAAAACAACCGGAAGCGTTCCCACAGCAGAATTGTTCTAGAGGTGTTCTAAACTACATGTTCCATAGTAAAACTGCGTTAAGGTATTGATTATTTTTGGCTCTTTGTTATATTTTATTCCAGACAGCTCAGTCTGCCTTGTTGTGAGCTTTGAATTGTACCTGGGGAAGCTCCATCCTCAGTGTAAATGACTTTGACAACGTGAGCACCCTGCGGTAAAGGGAAATGACCAAGTATGGTACGTCAATGCCCCACTTGGAAAGAACACCCTGGCTGCACTGATGCCTGGCCTCTCTCTTATCTGTGGACTGTCCAAAACATACACAAATCACTCCATTCATTCCACGTCAGTGATGATGTTTGATGAAGCAAGCTTCAAGGACAGACACATCATGAAGGTGAGCGGCCACATATCCCAGCAGAGGATTAGGACATACCGTATGCTGGTTGTGTAAGAGACTCAACAGAGGGTTAAATGCACTGAGCAAAGCAGTTTTTGACACAAGGCAAGGGGTACAACTTCCAGCTCAGTTTCACCCCTCTCCAAGAGGCCTCTGTTACAGAAATAAGTGCTTCCCTCTCTCCTCCGAGCATTCCAGTAAGACAGGATCACCTGCAAGCAGCCATTGAAGATGAAGATGCATCTCTCACCATGTTGACAGACTCACAAGCGGATCAGGCCCTGCAGTCATTACTTTCTGGCGCTTTCAATCAGTTGGCAGAAAACCTGGTGCATTCACCGTACTTCAACCAAGCAATACATCGTCAGTGGATGCAAGATTTCATTCTAAACATGAACAACTCAACAGTGAACTTCACAATCAATAAAAAATTTTCTATTTAAATGTAATCTCTGAAGCTCAGTAAATAAGATTAGTTTATTTCCTGCTAAGTTGTTTGCATTTTTCAACTTAACACCACGGACCCCATCACGGCAGGCATTTGTACCCATATACTGTACACCATTGCTGGATGCCTCAGTGTATGAATGACCTTCTCATTTTATTTTATACACTCATTATGGATGGTCAGGAATAGAAAAATCAAAATTTACAACTGTTTGACCCAGTCGCCTCGAGCAGGATCAAGAGAGGGCACAATTTTCCTAGCAACAGAAGCTCCTCAACACTTTGTTAGTCCACAAGTGACTGTGAAATTCACGCATAATGGTGGCTTCACTGCCAACAAAATGAACACTTCCCATCGGCATGGCTCTTTTCAACTGTTGAGGGTGAGAGGGTGCTTCCGCTCAATGCAGATATGTGCGTGCATATAACTATTTGACATGGCACAGTGTCACAGTTTATTTTTTTTAACTGGTCACCATCTGTTGTACCCTACATCAGTAAAAATTTCAGGAAAAACATCCTTCACATTCAAGAAAAAACTTCCCCGACCACAAGCAACTCAAGTGAACAGAATTACTTCTCCTGAAATAAATTTGTGTTTAGTTTCATTTGCTTGTACTGGTACTATTTATGTGTTGTTTAAATTTTGTGTTAGGTTACACCCTCCGCAAAGGTCAGTGCAGCCACCGATACCAAATCCCTAAGCTCAGTATATGCTACCGGTACAACTGTGAACTTTGCCCACAGTCAGGTGGCAGCTGCCCTCGCACCAACTGTGGAACTCGCGCAGAGAGCTGTTACTGTCATTCTCAAACAGACTGCATCAAAGACAGAGAGGTCATTGCCCGAAAATAGAGACAAGAGCAAGCATACACCATCAAGGTTAGCCCTTTGCATTTTGATACGATGAGATGTGGTCTTCATATGTGCCCCGATCCGTGCTTCTTTATCATGCACTTCAGTGTTTGAAAATAACTAATGTAAAATTTTTCCTGTCCTTTCAGTTACAGTTATGATGGTGCTTGTACGTCATTGGCTAAATCACAAGGCCTTCAAGCTGTGCACTGTGACCACAATTATGTCGACCACCGAACTATGGAGGAGAAATTGAATGATGCTGACCAGAGAATTCGCCATCTCGAAGGTGTGTTGGAGGTGCAGCAGATGACGAGATTTGGCACTGAGCGCATCACCTCTGATCCCCAGCTGTTGAAGTTCTACACCGGCTTCCCAGACTGTGAGACCTTCATGGCTGCTTTCAAGACCTTGGAACCAACAGCAGATATGGTGATGAGATGGAGACAAGCAGGAGTAAGCGACGGATGCCAGGGGGGACGTCAACCAGATGTTTTCAAGAACGAGAGCCTCCCACTCTTGGACCAGTTTTTTCTGTTCCTGTGCCGGGTTAAGGTGGGGCTGTTTGAGCAGGACTTGGCAGTGCGGTTTAACATTTCCTTATCAACAGTGAGCCGGATTGCTGTCGCCTGGGCCCATTTCTTGTATTTTGCACTGCGCTCGCTCCCGATTTGGCCAACTCAGAGGGCTGTCAGACTGCACATGCCCATGTGTATCAGGATGACGTACCCCAACACAAGAGTCATTCTGGAGTGCGCCGAGGTCAAAGTCCAGGGTTTGCCGTGTCCGATGGGCGCACCCTTAGAGCCCTCCCCGAATGACAAAGATCTCACCACTGCCAAGGGGCTTGTTGGAATCACACCGTGTGGTGCCGTCTCTTTTGTCAGTGATCTCTACACTGGAAGTACATCGGACAAAGCAATTACCAAGATGTCGGGCATACTGGAGAACCTTGAAGGAGGGGACCAGGTTCTGATGGCTACAAGTTTCCCCATTGACGACGTGCTGCAAAACATTGGATGCAGCCTTGTCGTACCACCTTTCCATCGAAAGCAGTACCACCTAGATTCACTCAAAGTCAGTCCGGCAGTCCAGATGGCCAGGCTTCAAACCCACCTTGCACAGGCTATTCAGAGAGTGAAGGAATTCCACATACTCGACAGTGTGATTCCATCCAGTTTGGCAGGTAGTGCCAACCAGCTGTGGACAGTGTGCTGTCTTCTGACAAATTTCAAGAGGCCGCTTTTGTAAATCTGCTTGCCTCATTGACTGACACAGCTCGAGAATTCGGACAACTTCCGAATAGGGTGACATTCTTTATCAGGTCCTGTTATTGTCTGAAGTGGGAAGTGGGGCCACAGATTTGTTGATTTTTCCATACAAGATTTTTAGAGCTTTTTGAAAAGTTCTCTCGAACTTTCAGGGAACTTGTGTTTACACACAAAGACACAAAATATTCATAATTCTGCCACAATCTCAGGAAACTTTGGTATCAACAATGAGGGCATTTACAGAGGCACGTGTAGGATGTATCAACTTTCTGGAAGGGAAAGCAGGTTTAGAATTTTCTTTGATGGAGGGGAGTGATGCAGGTTTTACCCCCACACAAACACACACAACTCCACCGCCTGCTTCCACAGCCACTGCCCCCTCCCTCCCATTTAGTCCAGGAAGTGCCATACTTGAGAGTGATGTAAACTGTGTAATACTTAGTTTTCCTGTTTCACACAATAGCTGTACTTGGCTGTGTATCAAGGACAGATCGTTGTCATAAGTAGGTTGCAAGTCATTATGGAAGTCTTCATGAGTCAGTTGCAAGTCATGACAAGTTACATCCATTGGCAGATGCAGGGAGTACAAACTAACCCACAGCCTTTGCTCATAAAAGAGGCATTTTGGTTTTTTTGTGTTTTGTTTTGTTTTGTTTTGTATGTGGCTTTTTGAGAATTCAGAGATGGCAATATTTTTAGACTGTTTTATTTCCCCTTCAAAATTTAACACCAAATTTGAAGCACCTTAGAAAGCCCATAGAGGGTAATTGCAAAGTACCCGCCCAAAAAACAGAAACATTCTGCATTTTCCTCCTTGCTATGTCAAGTCATTTGGAAGTCATCATCCAAGTGAGGATGCAGGATGGTTACTGCTCACCCCTGGCTACTTGTGACCTAACTTGACTTTATTGTAACCTGACTGTCAAAAAGTCTGGTCGCACGATCACTATACTCAAATGCACCCCCACCCTTATTATTTGCAGAAGCAGTAGGTTGAGTTTTACAAAAAATATAACGTAATCGAGACTGCCACAAGACCAGTGGCAAGTCACAGGAAAAGCAGTAGCGGAGGAACATTTTTTTGCCATTCATTTGTATAGCCAGCCTCATGACAACAACAGGGAGGTGTCATTTTGGTCTTGTGATGATTTTTTTTGGGGGGGGGTTCTTGTGACTGCTTATAAGGGATCTCAACTACAATATTGGAAAACGAGAGTTTTTCTGAATGCTCGCTAGCATTGCATCTGCCATGAAGCAGGGGATGCATCCAGTTTTGCGAGGAGAATATACATGATACTACATACTTAGTGCATTCATCTAACAACTTTTAATCTGATTTTGGGGCTACTTTCTGACACACC